GAAAAGGTGCTAAGCTTTCGTGCGTCATATGACAAACATCATCAGAGCAAGGTTTCATCGTCACAACCAAATTCAAGCTAACGAGTCAAGAAAACTCACCTGCAAATCCCTTAGAAGCGGTATATATACTCTATATCTGTCCTCTTTCATCAGGTATAAAGGCACATACACATACAGAGACAGACACAATCACAGGCTTCGCGGTTGACATATGACCGTAACTAACCAAATCACTTTATACCTGATATAAGGGGCCAGATATAGAGTATATATACCGTTCTTTAGGGATTTGCCGGTGAGTTTTCTTGACTCGTTGGCTTGAATTTGGTTGTGACGATGATATCTTGCTCTGATGATGTTCATCATATGATGGACGAAAGCCTAGCACCTTTTCACCGGGATCGAAAGAGATTGCCTCGGAAACAGAGCCAGCATGAATATTTTAGTAAAGCCAATCGACAACTGGTCAAGAGGAATCCGCTGTCGTCTTCTGGAGCAATCGACTTTCAAATCTCTTCACCAAACACTTTCATTTTAAATGGAAATAAGCTCAACAATAAGGTAACAAGAGATTTCTCGAAAACTAACTTTTATTTGGATAAAGTTACCATAATCAATATAAAATGGAAATAGCCAAATCATTCTATATCTGTTTATGTTTATCTATCTTCACTAGCAGTTATTGGTATTTACAAGACGTAAGCTAGAGCCTTACAGTCTTCTTAATTTTGTGTTAACTTGAGACTTTTACAAGAATGAATTTCATATGATGGAGGAAATTTCAACTGATTTCACCCCGATTGCACCAATCTGAACGGCGTATTAGAGCCAAACGGAAGCAGTGCAACGGGATATCAGCCGTTGCCTTCTGTCGAGATCGACCTTCGAATATCTTTTTCATGCACTTTTATATGAAATGTAAGTCTACCCGACTTTGTAGTGTTGTGAGGTATAGTTATTAGACTAATTCAAGTAATGTGTCCATCTAGAAACCTTGGCGTGTATATGTTTGTGTCTGCTTGTGTGGTTCTCTTTCTGTGTATAAGTATGAAGGTAATAGTGCAAAGTCAAAGTTTCTTTTTAATAAATTTTCAGGACTAACATTAAATCAAACGTATGAGTTGTGTTCATCCTATTCCGCTTAGGGTGATGAGGGACTGGTAGTTGAATTTCCCCACAATTATATGGATAGAGCTGATGTTTTCATTGAATTTCACCTAAACTAGCTTAGGTCTTATTAACACCCTCAAACCATGACAATGCATCGTGTAAGTTCTACACGTTAACCACTCTACCACATTGCCACCAGTGCCTTTGGGTAACAGGGCAGATGTGAATTTCAAGAAAGGTCAAGCAAATTCCCATTCCACATTTTGTGGTGGGATTGTCGAAGAAGCAAACCTATATTTGCTATAGCAATCGACAACATTGCTTTTTTTGTTTCTTTTAATATATATCTGATATATATTTAACTTACTAATAGTCTCGAAAACCTACTAAAAAAACGAAAAAAGTAATGTCGTCGATTGCTATAGCAAATGAAAGTTTCCTTCATCGATAATCCCACCAAACAATGTGATATAGGAAATTGTCTAACCTTTTAAATTTATGTCTTTCCTGTCACCCAAGGACACGCATGGCAATGTGGCAAAGTGATTAACATGTCAAAGTTACAAGCTGCACTGTCATGGTTCGACTCCGTCTGTAGGTGTTGATAAGCCTTAGGCGAGGTCGAAACTGAAGTCCGCTCCAGCCGGGATGAGAACATCTTTCGAGAAAGCGAGGCTATGTGAAATTCAATAGAAACGTCAGTTTTACTCGTATCATTGTGGGAAACTTCAACTAGCAGCCCTTCATCACCTTTGACCAAATAGGATAAACGCAACTCAACATTAATAGGCTAAAATAGTCCTCGAAACCCAACTTTTATTAACACACATTGTCAAGATCCAAAGCAATTGCTTTCAAACAGGGCTGAAAATGCCTATTTCACTATCGAATTGAATAGGTCGTGTTAGACATAAATCTGAGGCAGAAACTTTCATAGGTTGATGGGCATTTCCATATAACCACCCGGTCGAGGATGACTTATAAAAAGCTGACATCTGACTTGGTGAAGGTGACATGTAGCAATCTAATACGGTTAAGAGTAGATAGAAATCTTTCTCCTAGCAGCATAAAGTTGTATTGAGGCAGTAGTACACCAATTGAGTGAAGTAAAGGGACAAGTGAAGAAAATCCCACACACTCGCACATGCCTACCTGCAGTCCAGATCAGAGCTCCACCCACTAACGTGATATACTGTCCGCACCGAGGATGCGGCTCCGACTTCTGCAGACTCATGCTGGTCAGGCCAAGGG